TTTACTTATGAGCATTTAAATTATGAATTGTTCGAAAAAAGTTATCTTGCGCTCAATTTAGGGAGAAAAGAAAATAGCGGATAAAAGTGATGAGAAAAAAAATTGTTTCAAGGAATGAATGGTAGCTTATTCTGAAATAGAAAAACAAAATGTTTGAAAAGATATTTGCATTAAAGTTAATGATAATTAAACATTACAAAGTTTTACAAACAGCTCAAACTAATGATTTAGGTTCAAATTGTTATTTGGAATTATTTGAATTTAATAAATTAACGTCGAGAAAAGTTTTGCACTTTTCAAAAACAAAAAGTAAAATTCCCAGCTTTCTGACAAAACTGAAATGGAAGAAAATGAACTTCATTTAGAAATATTTGCATATAGCAAGATTTGTTCATGTGCAGCTCACGCTTTAAATCCATGTTTGTTGGTGTCCATACTGTGACAGAAAAAAAAGAAATCCATAAAGAAGAAACAAAAGCGTCTCTAAAAAAATAAAAATTTATTTAAATAATTTAGCTCCTATACCAATAATAAACCAAAACGGTGGATGCTCTACCTCGTCAATCGAAATAAATTAAAACACACAGGAAATAAAAAACGAAATAAAAAAAAAAACACACACACCGGAAAATGTAAAAAAAAAAAAATGCGAAAATGAACAAATTATTAAAATGGAATTGGCATTAAAAATTAAAAAGAAGAAAAGTAATATACCTTGTTTTATTTGTGGCGAAGATCGAAAAGAAATCATCAATAATTGTTTAAAATGCAAATTGTGGGCTCACGATTTATGTGCTGCATTTGATAAAAAAACAAAAAAGTATATATGTGACGTTTGCAATACCTGAGTTGTTTGTTTGATTATGAATAATAATAAAATTATTTTTTTATTTTTTTGCTCTATTTAAGTATGACTTAATTTAAGTACAGCGAATCGTATGACTTAAGCTACAGGTGATCACCTATGGCCTAAATTGTAATTAGCCGTTTCACTACAACTTAGGAAACCATTTTTTTAGTCGTAGCAATTGAAATATTAGGTTTATTTTACGTTAAAGCATTTTTTATTTTTGTTACTACAAACAACTACAATGTTAGTAAACGTTGTGAACACAACATCTTTAATTTTAATTATTTGATAAATCTTTATATTTGTTTAATTAATCTTTTACTTATTTGATAAATTTAGCGGCCGTTTTCATTGTGCATTTTTTTTTTTTTTTGTTATTATGCGGTTGAATCTTTGCATTATGAACTCCCCTAGATTTCAATATGAAAAACAATGATTTCCAGCAATTTTATGAAACTTTTTTAGTAATTTACAAAATCTTAGGTAGATAAGGCAATATATCTTTGTCATGGTTATTTGATTGTGACAAGTTATTTAAAAGATAAGATGCACTCAAACTGTTATTACAAATATCTATTTTGAGTTCATTTATAGTTCATATTTTACTCTTCATATTTGGACTTAACCTTAAAACTTATATTGTTTGGGTATATTTATATACAATTTTCATTTTTTTAAATATAAAAAGTTGCTAATTTAAAATTTAAGATAAAAAACTTCTTTAAAAAGTGACCAGGATTTCCTGTCAACCATAAATAGGCGTTTTTACCCTATAATATTTTTTTTCTCAATGTTTTAAGTTAATAAGTATAAAAAGTCCTTTTGTTTAAAAAGTCCTTAATTTTTTTAATCTATAGCGCCTCCTCCTCCTTCGAAATCAATCTGGGATTTCTTTATTGGGAAGCCAACTCCAGGTAATACTTTTTAAATCTTTTTAAATTAGAAATCAATTTTTAAATTAGAAATCATTCAGTTTTTCGTGTTTATCAATATTATGTTATAAAACAGTTTAATTGTGTTTATAAGTTAACAAATTTGGATATCTAATTGTTAGCTTTTCTAGCTAACAATCCTCGTAATTAAACCGCTGTCTTTAACTCTACGATCATCCTAGCTAATAGATAGTTAGTTTCCAACCGGGCAGAATGTCTTTGATTTTCATATTTCATATGCCACTTTCTAAGAATTATCATAAAAAAAAATTGTTATTTGTGATAAATGTTATTTCAAATAATGTCTAAACAAATCTATAAGACTACGTCAGACACGCTCACCTACTTAAACTCTAAAACTTGTAAATTTGTACCAACGTTAAAGTTGGTACAAATTTACAAGTTTTAGAGTTTAAGTAGGTGAGCGTGTCTGACGTAGTCTTATAGATTTGTTTAGACATTATTTGAAATAACATTTATCACAAATAACAATTTTTTTTTTATGATAATTCTTAGAAAGTGGCATATGAAATATGAAAATCAAAGACATTCTGCCCGGTTGGAAACTAACTATCTATTAGCTAGGATGATCGTAGAGTTAAAGACAGCGGTTTAATTACGAGGATTGTTAGCTAGAAAAGCTAACAATTAGATATCCAAATTTTGCAATTTGTTTTGATATATATTTATGCCTTGCTACTCTAAACTGATAATACTAAAACTTTTTCTATACTTCTCTTCAGCATATTATTTTTCGGTATTCATTTTTAAGAATATCTTCTTTCTGTAGAAACCATTAATTGATCAAGAGTTTAACAACCCGACCTTTTTTAAAATTTTTATAAAATATAACCTGCTTAGTACCACGAACTTCTATTCTATCTTCAGATAGCTAAAATTTTAATGTCTCTCTAGATAAAAAAGCATAATCCTCAAAATTTTTAAATTAAAATTATTAAGTGCCTGATAAGAAATTTCTTTTCAGAAATAATATCATCCTTTTGTAAACACTTTTATAAAATTCCATTTTATCTGCCAATTGTCTATACTTAAAAAACATAGCTCCAAAGGATCACTTTGCAGCCTGGAAGTGAAAAATAAATCCTTCATCGAGCAAATGCATTTTAGGCAAAAATACAAGTTCTAATAAATAATCAATAAGGGATGAGTTGCTCGCAGTGACGGATCCATTATTTTTTGGTGTTTGAGCAAACATCCAGACATAGAGCAAACTCTAAACATTTATTTATCCATATTTATGTCGAATAATGATGCTTTACAAAAAAATTGCGGTGGTTGATAGCTAGGAATGAAAAAGCTTTTTGACTTCATCCGCCCCCCACCCCACCACAAACGTGAGGGGCAACAAGTTGATAATTATTTTTTTACTATTCTCAATTAGAATTATATTCATTGATAAATTTTAAGTTTGACTGTATTATCTCTCACCGTTCAAAAATTAGGACCATATAAAATTTAAACCCACTTTAATTTTTTGAGGGGTCTAAATGTTTTTTATGATCATAATTTTTGAACGCTCAGATATAATGCTATGAAACTTGATGTTTATCGATGAATAACGGTCTAAATAAGAATAGAACAAAAAAATTATCAACTTGTTGCCCTTCACGTTTCAGGTGGAGTGGGGGGATAAAGTCAAAGAGATTTTTCGTGCCCAGCCACCAAATACCACAATTTTTTGCGTTATTTGCAGCTAATATTTTTGTTGGACTTCTTGCTTGGTTTATTTGCTGTTCTCCATTAGAGTTAAACTTAGGTTGTTTTTTAGCTTGCTTTGCTGCATTTTTGCTCACAGCATCTTTCAACATTTCAAGTATTTCAGGTTTGTTGAGATACTCCCCTTCGAATCTTAGCACATTTACATTTTTTCTTTTTTTTTGTTTCAACGTGTTGGATACGAAACATTTGTTGCAAAGCTAATCCAAGTGATTGTGCTGATTGCAGTTGTTTTTCAACTTCTTTTTGAATTCCTTTTGAATAGCCGGAGTTACTACAATATTGAAGGTTTTTTGCAGACTCAAAAGTCACTCAGGTGACTTTTGAGATGACTTTGGAGGTGATGCTATGTGACATATGCTGATGCTAGATGTTGTTGGTGTAGATTCAGAGGGCAGTGGTTAATCTAGTGTAGTTCCTGGTGCTAGATTTGGTGATAGCACTATCATAGATTCTGATTGTTGAGATAATGAAGGATCAGGTTCAGATCTCGGTGTTTTAAATTTATTAGAAATTTGCAACTTTGACTGATCAATTTTATTGATGTCGAGTGGAAAAAAGCCAGTATTCTGAAACCCAATGACTATCTAAGTACGTGTAAAAACTTCACCAGTGCTGAAAAGTTATTTTTTGCAGGTGACTGAAACATTCTTTTGATAAGGTGGCTAAACTTTGTCTCTGCATAAAACAGTTGAGTTAATTTGCGCCAAACTCTTTTGACATGGCAATAAACACCAACAACTAAAGGCTGAAGAATGTGCGACGAGAGAGCTGGTAAGCATATTAACAAGTGACTATCTATTGAATTTTTTCATTTATTAGAACCATTTTATAAAAGCAGAAAGTAAAAGTCATTTAAATTCAGTGAGAAAAATTTTTTCATTTAAATTTATATAAATTTGTTCATTTAAAAAGTTTATAGTTGGAGATTTATTGGTCACTTGAGACCTAATAAATAAAAGCCGCTTTTAAGAAATAAGCTATTGCTTCGTATTTATTTATTGAATTAATAGCGTTTTTAATTCAACCCCGCAACACTCAGTTTCTGTTATTAACTCATAACTTTTTTTCCTTAATAGCAAATTTAATTTTGAAAAAAGATTCTTGATCAGCGTAAAAAGTTGAACCGATAAACATTTTAAGTTCAGTGAAACCGAGTTTAATTTCCGAGAGTTTTAAGTTCTCTTTTTAAACAAAGAAAATCTTATTACGCATTCGAAAACTTATAAATTTATAACAAATTTTTTTAAATTAAAAATAAAATTTTATACAATCTTACTCAAAAAATATTTTCTTCAATATAATCAAAAAATATTTACAAAAAAATTATTAAATAATTAATTAAAATCATAACTATTTCGTTTTACCCGCTATTTCATTTTACCACTACACCTTTTATTAAAGTTTTTTTCTATTAAAGTTAGTTTAATAGTTACCTTAATGACGTTAAAATACCTGTTTTATTGTGGCATTTGGTAATATTTTATTCATAAACCACTTAAATTTTGAGAATCAGCAAAACTGAACGGCAAACACTCAGTGGCAATTAAAGTAATGATGTCATGATCAACTACTAATTGACACCGATCTTAAAGTGGCCACTTTTTTGTAACCGCCTTCTTTGGTAGAATGAGAGTTTTAAAGGCTACATCTTTTGCAAATCCAGAAGCACCTGCCTCGATTACTTTAAGTTCTTCATCTCCTTGTGATCTCCGCTTGTCTTCTTTTTTTGATGTTCGATGAACAACTTCCTATGTTATGTTAGAATACGCTTTCGTAAGCCAGTAGTATTTGCTTGCTTTGTTGCAAGCTTCTTAGCGGGCATTTTGACGTCCTAAGAACGTCCGTAAGACGTCTTAAGTCTCGTCCGTAAGACATCCTTAGTTGGTCTCAAATGAAAGGCTTGAGGACGTCTATTCCAGATGTCCTAAAGACGTCTTTTTAAGTCGTCCTAGAGACGTTTTTTGACGTTCTAGAGACATCTCTGGCTAGTCTAATTTTAAAGACTTAAGGACGTCTTTTTCAGACGTCCAAGAGACGTTTAAATTTTACCAAGACATTCTTTTAAAAAATATATAAAAATGCAATGATTTACAACACAAACCTTAGATTTGCCTTAATCTAGGCAAGGGAAGTTATAAAAAGAAATCAATGTAAAAAAAGTGTGATTTGATATATTCAAAATAAATTAATAACTTTACAAAAAATAAAAATAATTTTTCAGACAAAGTTACATTTTCAAATTAAAAACTAAAAGGTACAGTAGAATATAATCGTGCATTATAAATAGAAGAAAATTGCTTAAAAATGGAAAAAAATAAATAAAATACAACAGTTAAGCCATCATTGATCGAAATCCATATTAGTACATAGATCCATATTAGTACATAGATCGAAATCCATATTAATCCATATCTCTTTATTCGGTCAGAAGAATGCCTAATTACTTTTCCAATAAGTTGGATGGTATCCATTGTGATTAAGTTTTTATTTGACTTTAAAGCAGCTTCTAATAAAAAACAACAAATCATGTTTCAAAAAGATCATTAAAAAAAAATGTCATGTATACATACACTTGAATACATGTCATGTTCCATAGCCAAAGAAATTTAATTTTTCAGCTTATTAATGTGTTTGATTAATTAAAAATTAAAAAACATCATTTTTAATTTTAAATTAATGAAACACATTATTAAGCTAATAAAAATATCAGTGACAGCGTAACATAGACTTGTCAACTCTTTAAACTTTTTTTTCTTCTTTAGACATTATTAAGCTAATAAGAATAACAGTGACAGCGTAACATAGACTTGTCAACTCTTTAAACTTTTTTTTCTTCTTTAGAAAATTCATGCTGTTTTCTGACAAAATAGTGTCTGTTGGCTGTCTACATAATAAAAAAAAAGATAAATGCTGTACTGTCAATCAAAAATGTTAAAATTCAAACTTTTGCTAGTTACTTACAAGAGCAAAATTTTTTTAATTGTATCAGCTGGATTTTTACCCCCAATTAATGATAACTGTTTTACCTAAAAAGAAACAATGTATTAGAAACAATGAAAATGTTTATAACAATTTAAAATAAATATTATAATAATACGTAACATATAAAATATAAAGTTGAAACTCATGTATACAAAAGTGATGTATTGGATATCTCTATTTGCGAAATTTTTTTTCAAAACATTAAATTTATCTGAACTTTTACGTTGTTTAAAACCTTCTTCTGGATTATTGGAGAACAG